CCCCCCCGGAGGCCCCGCGGGGCGACCCGGCCTCCCTGCCGCTTTGCAGCGCCGCGCCCTCCGCCCTGCTCCTCTGGGTCGCCGAGGCCGGGGCGGGGGGCGGGGCACGGGGGTGCGGGCGAACCCCGCCAAAGGCTCTTACCTCAGCGCGGGCATCCGTCCGACCAAGCGCAGTTTGCCGCTGGGACTGCGGGGCTGGGGAGGCTCCCACGGGCTCGGATCGCGCCTCCCCCCGCCCGGAGCCCACAGACCCTTCGGTGGCCCCGAACGGGGGCGCCGGGACCAGGGGACAGGCGCCGACAGGGCGGGAGGAGGCGGCTCCTGCGGGGCGCGGTGGGGCGGGGCGGGGGTATCTGCCGGGCCCCGCCCGGGAGGGGACGTGGGAGCGATTATCCCGGAGAACAAAGGCGGCCGGGGAAGGCTCGGCGCCCCCCGGGCCTGGCCCTGAACTTGAACTTGTACTTGACACTTTGTCCGGAAGGTGGCGAGGAAGCCCGTCTGAGCTGGGACAGGGCTCGTCTGTCCACCTTCCGTCCCAGGGACAGGGCGAGCCTGCCCTCCTCTGCGCCCGGAGGGAGCCGGGCATCCCCAGGGCCCCAGCGCGCCCCAAACTGCCTTGGGCTCGAGGGTCCTGGGGACTCTGCGTCCCCTCGGAGAGTCGGGGTGAGGACGGCGTCCTGGGTCTCCGGTCCAGAGGAGAAGGCCGGGACCCTGTGCCCCAGGCCCCCTCCCCTCGACTCCCACCCAATCCCGGGCCAGGCCCGCCGCCTTCGCTGCGCTGGGCAGGCCAGATTCTCTGCACGTCGCGTCGGCGGCCGCTATTCAGCCGCTAATTGAACGTTAATAGCAGGTGCGGATGAGGTCACCGGAGCTGGCTTTTCTCACACATTTTTCATGCAAATTCTCGAAACTAAACAAATTTGAATAAAAAGCTCTTTGTGCCGTGCGCCCCCCAGCCTTCTGCCTCCCGCCCGGGGTCCTGGCATCTCCCGGTGCCCTGGGGCTCCAGCCTGCTGCCCCGCGGGGGGGAAGGGGAGACGAGCCGGGCGCCATGGGCAGGGCTGTCCGGGGATCAGTGGTTAGGGTCGCGCCAGTGGCCAAACACCGCCCGGGCTGGGACGTGGGACGTGGGACAGGGCCAGGCTGATGGGTACCAGTCCTTTAGGGAGGCAGTGTGCGCAAGTGCCCACCATCTGGACAGACAGACCTGCCTGTGCCAGCATCCCAGCTACACCCACCCACCCACACATTGGCTACCTTGGACGGCAGACTCAGCTTCACTCTCTCCGTTGGTTAAATAGGAATAAAGATAGTGCCCAGTTACTCACACATTTGTCTGGGTATTAAACCATGATTTAAGACTTGAACAAGCACTTAGAACAGTGCCTGACACCAGAAAGTGTGGATTATTGTTGGGGGTCCAAGGGCCTTGTGAGAATGAATGCTGTGATGAAAGCATGATTGTGATTTTGCACATACATGAGGAAACTTGTCAGGGCTTTCAGGAGACTCACAACCCCCTGCATCCCATTCTGGTCAGAGATGGAGACCTGGAGCCTAACCCTACTGCTTCCCAGCTGTGTGGCTTTGCATATTTCTTAGCCTCTCTGAGCGTCTGTTTCCTAGTTTATAAAAGGTAAGAATTAAATAAGACACTGATGGAGGTTTGGGAGGAATTTGGGGCTGATTCCCAATCCAGAACCTCCAGGATGCCTCACCTGAAGGCCGGGTATCTACAATTACCACCCTGAAGGCAAGGTAGGCCTTGGGCTGGCCACAGCCTTTGTCTTCTTACCAAGTGACCCTAGCAGGTAAAGGAGACAGACTTTCCAAGGCCTTGTGAGCTTTCTTGCTCCATCCTTCCTATCCATACCAGGGTCCTCACCACACTTCAAAATATGAGTTGTTTTTGTTAGTGCCTGAGTCTTACTTTCCTCCCTCATATCCCCCCAGAAGAACTGACCAGAGACATGGAAGGCTTTGTAAAGAAACTTTATTCATTGTGGGCTGGAGCAAGAAAGGCAGGGGGTTCACAGACTAGAAGAACTTGCCCCAGTCCTCCCTTAGGACCACCCAGAGGGGCCCACTGGCCTTGGAAGAGTCCCAGCAATTCAAGCTACCTGGGTGCCTTCTCTGCTCTCCCATTTTTGCTTCTCCAGCCTCAGCCTTTCCAGAGCACCCCATCAGGCCACCCTCTGGGAAGCATGGGGCATGCCCGGGAGCATCCTCATCTGCCTGCCAGGCTCCTTCAGGTCAAGGAACCCAAGGAAGAAGCAAAGTCTGCATGAGTGCAGATGACCAGCAGCCAGGAGACTGGGCAGCTGCGGCACTTACCAGCAATACTAACCAAAGACTCTGTAATCCTCCTCCTCCCACTCTGGTGCCCAATCCAGTGCTGAGGACGCCCCAGAAGATAGATGGCACTAAGTGGAATTGGGGGAGGACCCCGGGCAAGGGACTATTTGAGGTTACCTTTCAGGGGAAGGGCTAATGTTTCTATATGTGGGGGCTGTCAAGGAAGCGTGGCAGTTTTGGGGACCTCCTTCAAGAGGCCAAGCCAAATAGTATCTGTTTGGGGTTAGAAAGACTTTAGAGTCAGAGAGATTTGGTTTTGAATCTTGGTTCTGGCACTTACTGTGTGACTTTGGACCTGTAACTTTTCTGGGCCTCAGTATCCTTATCTGTAAAATGTGTGTACTTTGGTACCCACAGCCCATAAAATTGAGTCACTGCACTTGACCTGGCATCTGACAGCCTTCTGCTTGCGGTGGCCCTTAATGTTTCTTTCTCCCCCACAGCTGATTTGGGGTGACTAGCTGCTGGGCCCCAGCGATCTCCACCAGTTTCCTGAGTTTCCCAAGCCCTCCTTTGCAGGCCATCAGGGGCCCAAAGGAGCTCTGCAGGCTGCTGCACCCCAGACTTGTGATAAGTGTTGCCAGACCCCCTGCGTTGTCTCTCAGACTCTTTCCAGGCCCTTACTCTTTTGGGGGTAAAGCAGGGGTGGCAGCTGGCCCTCGGCGGCATTCCCCACGCAGTGATGTCTCTCTCCAGACACATGCTGCTTATGCAAATAGGGCCTTTCAAAGCCCTGTCCACTTCTCCCACCTCTGCCAATCTGGGCCCGCCCCCAGCACAATTACACCTCTATTGGACCCTGGTGGATAGGGGCACCTCCCCGCTCACCTTGGCCCACTTCCCAGCCAAGGTTAGTGACCCTGGAGCCTCCAAAGGCCCCCTCTCCAAACTAGCAGCCCATGAGGGTGGAGGGGTAACATCTACCTGGAAGACAACAGCCCCGGGCCAGGCTCCTGGCTCTGCCCCTCACCTGCAAGGAGCTCTTGCAAACCAATCGACCTCTCTTCTGCATCTGTGAAAGGGAAATGATACCCACCTAAGCAAGACCCAGAGATACTAAGCCTGGCACTTAGTAGGCTTTTGATTAACAATAGTAGCCATGATGATGGTATGTGATTCCTAAGCCCCAAAATAGGCAATGGCAGAGGCTACCGGTGATTCTGGGATGCTCTTTCCTGCAACATCACCACCGTCCTCTTGGGCCTCCTCCCTCAAATTGGTTGATAGAAGTTAAGCTTATTATATTAAATAGCCTCTTTACATTTTTCCATCAAAGTATTTCATGAGCATGGAAAGATAATGGTACAGAAGAATGTATCCCTCCATCCCAATGCCTCAGAGTTAGCTTTCCAGAAACTACCCATATATAAGCATACTTATGGCTGACTTTTTTTTTTTTTTTTAAAGATGACCGGTAAGGGGATCTCAACCCTTGGCTTGGTGTTGTCAGCACCACGCTCAGCCATTGAGCAAACCGGCCATCCCTATATGGGATCCGAACCCGGGGCCTTGGTGTTATCAGCACCACACTCTACCGAGTGAGCCACGGGCTGGCCCCTTATGGCTGACTTTTAAATATACACAAATAAGATCATACTCTATTGCCTGTTCTGCAATTTATTCTATCACCCAATAATATACACTGACCAGCCTCACATAGAGAGATCTACCAGATTGATTTTTACTGCTGCATAGTATTCCACAGTATGGACTACAGCTTCCATTTCTTTACACTCTTAACAAGAAATACTCCAATGAACATCTCATACATACTTCTTTAGGAACTTTTACAAATATACCCACAGGGTAGTGCAATTTGTGACCAAGTATATGTGCCTTTTACATTTTGATATTGCCACATTTCAGAAAACATTGTACAGTTTACACTCCCTAACCAACAGCGTTTGAGAGTGTCTTAAAATAGATACCTGATGGTACAGAAAAGCACAAGAATAGCCAGCCAGTGTGATATAAGCCATAGAGGCACCCAAAGAGCCCACTGAGAATGGTATTGGACTAGCCTGTTGTCCTTAGGACAGTGCTCAGTAGTTTCCTCCTGTCCAGGCCAGTGCAGGCTGGTGTCCCAAGGGTGCCCTGAGTCAAAAGGGAGCGGGGCCCACTAGGGCACTGGGAGTGGAGCATGGATGGGGTTCTGCCTGAATGATTTCCTGCAGTCATTGTCTCTGCCCTGCCTGCTCTCCTTGGGGGGAGTTTATTCAGGGGCCTTTGGAGAGAGGGTTGGCAGTAAGAGGGTGTACAGTACTCACGAAAGGCACCCAGGAATGTGTCACAGGAGGGAGAGAAGTTGTGGGGGGAGGGGAACCCATCCCTGGGAGAGATTAGACGTCAAGAACCCCTGACTAATGAATAGAGAGTTTGCCCTTGAACCTCACTGGGCTTCGCCATTCTCAGGCACAGAACAAGAGCGGAGACACGTCTGAGCCCAGCTGCACAGGGATGGCGACGGTTCATCTCAGACACTTTGACAGCCTGGGCCTTTTCCCTGCATAGCTCAGATCTGCCTCCCAGCTCCCCTGGCAACAGCACAGCAGCATGGCTCCTGGGTCCAGGCCCTGCCTGCTGTGACAGGAGGAGGGAGGAAGAAGAGCACCAAGGGGAGGACAGCTGGGGAAGAGAGTCGTTAACTCCTAGAAGGCTGGAGTCCCTTGCTCTGGCAACTTCCCTGCATGCTGCCCTTGGTCCTTTGGGGGAAATACGGATGGTGAAGAGCTCCCATTTACCAGAGGCCTACCCAGAGTGTTCCATATAGCACCTCAGACTCAGGACGGGCCCGAAAATTTGTGACAAGGGCAGAGATGGTGAAGGAGGAGATGCCAGGCTAACAGGCCAAAGGGATGGGTTGGGGCACATTTCCCCAGGTCCCCTGCCAAATCTGAGATGGGCAGGATTGCCTGGGCCCTTGTCCTCCATCCTGGCTCCTACTGCTTCGGCCTCAGGACAATGGCTACTGTCCTCTCTTCCTGCTTGGCTTTTCCTCTTTCTGATGATCTCACATGTCGTGGGGCAGCTTGGCTCCGTATTCCAATTCTGTAACCTTGGCAAGGGCCTCAATTCCTCTGTCTCCATTTTCATAACAGCTGAAAAGAGGCTGTCCCATCACACTTCACTTCACAGGACAGTCTAGAGGTAAGAGAAATAATATGTGAGAAGCTTTGCACTCTGGGGAGGAAGGTGTCCTATAAATCTCATTCAGGTATTATTAGGGCTGAAACTAGGTATTTCTGCTCCCTGGGGAAGGAGGGGCGGCGGGCTGGGGGTAGGAGCTCATCCAAGGTTGTCTCAGAACCTCTCCAGGAAGGCACCTCAAAGGCAAGGGGTCAGGAAAGTCAAGGGTTTATGTCTGTGGCATTTGGAGCCGCTCCAACTGGGATAGGAGGTAAGAGAGGACAACTGTGTCATTTCAAGGTACTTTACCTGTATTATTTCTGTGCCTCACTGCAACTTTATGAGAAAGGTGTGGTTACCCTCATTTTAGAAATAAGGGGGTTAGGGCCGGCCCGGTGGCGCACTGCTACAGTGCGCCACTTGGGAGTGTGGCGGCGATCCCGCCGAGGGTTCTGATCCCACATACAGACCGGCCGCTCACTGGCTGAGCGAGGTGCGGGCGCAACACCGAGGGTTGCGATCTGTTGCCGGTCACGAAAAAAGACAAAAAGAAAAAAAAAAAAAAAAAGAAAGAAATAAGGGGGTTAGTTCATTAGCTCAGTTGGTTAGAGCTGATAACACCAAAGTCAAGGGTTCTATCCCTGCACCAAACAGCTGCCAAAAACAAAACAAGAAATAAGGAAACAGAGTCTCTGAGAGGTTAAGGGGCTGGCCCAAGATCACACCAGTCATACAAAAATCTGAGCCCACGTACACCTGACTCCATGGCCCCACTTGTCTCAGCTGTACCAGTGGCAGAGCTACCTGGCTGGGGGTACTGGAAAGAAGGGCCAGGTGCCAAGCAGTGTTATTTCCCCCATGGATTACTTCTCAGGTCTTGGAGCTTTTGAATCTAAAGGAGGTGGGATGGCCCAGGGAGGTGGAATGGCCCAGGGAGGTGGAATGAGGCAAGTCCCAAGGAGAACACTACAAACCCACCCTGAGGGCCACCTCAGCAAACAGAGCCACCAGGTCAAATATTGTTCAGAGCAAATAAAACTAGAAGAAAAGGTGAAGGAATCCAGATCAGAGGCTGGGAGCATGCCTAGCTAAGACTCATGCTCTCTGACCCAAGTTTTGCTCCAGGGCAGATCACTTCCGAGCCCCATGTATCTTTCCAACAGTGAGCTGGGTTATTATCTTGCAGCCTCTCGGTGAAGGTGCATCCCTGGGCAGCTCAAAGGGAACAAAACTGGCTGGGTTTCCTGTGAGCCACGGGGCTGTGTGCAGGTAACAGAGTAGAAAAGGCAGGAAGAACTTCCAGATTATAAAATGTAGGGGCTAAAAGGGACCTCAGACACTATCTTATCCAATGCCCCTTTTCCATGTCCAGAAGGGAGGTGGTTTACCTAAGACTGCTCAGTAGGAAGGTGGGCTGGAGTCCAAGTCTCTCACTTCCCGCAACCGTAGGTGTGGTTGTGTCTTCCTCTGCCCTTGTGACTTTACCAGGCCACCTTGGGACCTCAAAGGCAGAGATTACCTAACAAGGCAAAGAGAAAGGCCAGGTAAAAGAAGCCTATTGGTGAAGTGCACCATGTGTCCAGAGGTGGGAAGCCTGGGGCTGGGGCAGATGCTGCCTTGAGGCCTGACGCTTTCCTCAATTGTCAGAAGATGGCTCCCCACCACCCCAACACCACAGTCCCATCCTCTACAGCAAGACACTGTGGACTTGCTGATGGCCCTGCCCTGGCTGATGAAGAAAGAGAGGCATGAGGAGGTGGATCAGAGCATGGACAGGCCACCTAATCCTGGCCCACAATTCTTTTGAGAAGAACAGGAAGGAAGGAGGGGCAGCTCCAGGGGACATGAGGATGGCAAGGGCCCCTAAGAGAAGCTTGTCCCCACAAAGCCTAGTGGCAGGTCTGCAGCAAGCATGGGTCTGGAGCTGGAAAGGACCTCAGCTCACTGCCCTCCACTGCTGGGTCCTCTGCCAGGCCAGGCAGGGTGCCACATGCTAGGCAGATCTGACCTGCTCAGAATGCAAGAGAGATCCCAGGATCTTGCATCCTGTGACCTAGTCAGGAACTGCTCTTAAGGGACATCTGTGAGCTTGGTGATGAACAGACACATGATGAAGCAGAAAGGCACAAAGACAAATAAACTTATCTGAGTCCAGCTCTGCCCTCCTCCTCCAGCTGATGGTTTGGGCCAGCTGTCAATCTAACTGGTCAGTGTGTGGGCTGTACTAGTGTTTAAATATTCTGAATATCACCACTGTCCCCACCCCCCAAATCACAGCTATCTTAAATGACCTTGAGAAGTTCAACGCCTTCATATCTGCCCCATACCTAGGGAAAGGAAGAAGGAAATTGACTCCATCTAGTGTTTCCCATGTGCCTAACAGTCCTCACAGTAACTGCATAAGTAGCAATTATTATTCCCATTTTACAGATGAGGGTTCAGAGGCCCTGAGAAATTCAGGGGTCTACTTGCACAGTAATGGCAGAAGCAGAGCCCCAAGCAGGGCCTCTGCCCTCAGCATCTCCTCCTCTGTCCCTCATCTACAGCCAAGGTCCCAGGCCTGGGCTGCCCCCATCCTGCTGGGCCAGATGCCTCAGAACCACTTGGGCTTGCGTTCAGCATCCCTGCCTCAATTTCCTAACTCTCTGGGTTCTTTCAGGGCTGCTCAGTCCAAGCAGGGAGGCATACTACCCAGCATACTTGCTTAGCTAGCTGTAGGATAAATCCTCACCCCCGACCAGCCACCCTGGCAACATTTTCCTGGCTGACCAGGGAAATAAATACCTGCAACTTACAGAGGCTCCTTCTAACTGCATTGGTAGACAGGATTTGGGCGCTAGGGTAAGGGTGGGGGTAGCTACCAAACAAAATACAGCCATGCAGAAAAGGCTGGAAAGCCTTAATCTTGGGAACTTTCCTCCTGAGGAACAAAGAGCAAGGTGACGCCTGACTGAGTGCGGGGCCTGTGCCCCAGCCCTCCACTGGGCACCACCGTGCTGGGCCCAGCCTAGCCAGGCCACTGCCTTGGGAGGGGGAACCGCGCTTGGAATGTGATTCCCTGGCTTTACGTGATGCTCCATTAGCAGAGTGCGACTCCCAAGATCCCCTGTCACCTTCTAAAGCCTCTGCCAGCCCGCCCTCCAGCACCACAATGATCACCAGATTAAGGAGCTCAGAGCTACAGCTGAGGCGGCTAAAACGTGGGAGGGAGGAGTCGGGAGGGGCCCGGCAGGCAGTGGGCCACTGTCCCAAGACCTTGCCTGCCATGATTCTTGTCCCCCACCCCTACTGTGGGCACCTCTCACCACATTCCAATCCTGCCATGAAGCTCTAACCTCGACACTCGTACACTCTTTTCTTCATTGAGCTTTGGACTTCACCTCTAGATACCAAGCTTGAGTAAGGAGCAACCAGGGAGATAGGGCAAGAGGTAGGAAAAGAAGGGAAAAGGCAGCCAAGATGGAAGGAGCGAGCGCATTGGGAAGCAGACTGAAGCAGTGATATAAGGGGAGGAAGGTGGTGCTGGAGGGAAGGCCCAGGGCCTCCCCTGTGTGGCCACCTGGGGTTAATCCCAGAGGCTCCCTGAGGGTCCGTCTGGCCAGCTGCCCAGCTCTAGAGCAAGGTATACTCCACAATACCTCTGGAGAGAGTGGGAGGGAGCCCCAGAGGAGGGGAGGCTGGCAAAGAAGGGAAAAGAGAGAGAATCTGGGCATTCAAAGCTTTTCCCTAAGACCCCAGCATTTCCCGATCCAAAAGCAGCCCAACTCATTTAAAACACAAACACAGTAAATGAAATTCCCTTCTGTCTGCACAGGGTTACCAGGACTGCAGAAAATGTGAAGGACTTAGTTTATCTGTGATAAAGACCCAGCAGGAAGGAACTGGAAGTTCTGGCACAGGACCTTTTGGACTGTGAGTAGTCCCAGGTCTGGGCTTTCAATTAACCCATGAGCTGTGTGCAATGAGAAGGCAGGGCCAGTGGGGCTGAGCAGGGGAAAGGCCAGAGAAGGGCTTCAAAGCCAGATACCCTGGCCACCAAATCCTGAGACCTCTAAACCTACCCCCCCCCCCCCCCCCAGGGGAAAGGCCAGAGAAGGGCTTCAAAGCCAGATACCCTGGCCACCAAATCCTGAGACCTCTAAACCTACCCCCCCCCCCACCTCCCATGATTATTGTGAGGGGCTGTGGAGAGGTGGACACTCTGAAGGCATGACCCAGGAAGCTGTCTGGAGGCCCAGCTCAACAGGCATCCAGCCCCTTCTCAGTCCTGTCCCCCACCCTAGGGCCTGCAGGGGGCGACCAGGACATAGGGCCCTGGCCAACAGCTGCTCTCCCTCTAGCTTCTCCTTTGCCGCCCCTGCCAAACTCCTTTCTGCTTGGCCAGGGCCTGCTTCCCACCACTGCAGGGTAGGGTGGGAGGAGAAGGGCTCAAGCTGGGGAGGAGGCTTCTGTGAGGACCTGAAAAGACAGGTTCTGCCTGCTTCTGCTCCTCCTGCTCTAAAAACACAGCCCCACACTTGCATATCAACAGGCATGAAATCCTTCCTGCAACAGCCCCCTTTATCCCCAGCCAGAATTCATTGGTCCCATTCCTGTCATTGTGTTAAATCAGAGAGAGCTAAATCAACACAGATTTGAAATGATCAGGATTGATCGTTATCACCATCACGGACTTCCTAAGCTAGAAGGGAACCAAGAGGGGCCGGCCCGTGGCTCACTCAGCAGAGTGCGGTGCTGATAACACCAAGGCCATGGGTTCGGATCCCATATAGGGATGGCCGGTTAGCTCACTGGGTGAGCGTGGTGCTGACAACACCAAGTCAAGGGTTAAGATCCCCTTACCGGTCATCTTTAAAAAAAAAAGAAGGGAACCAAGAGATTCCTGAAGTTCAATTCACTCATCTTGCCAATGAGAGAGCTGAGATTCAGGGCAGAGGACTTGGCCAGCCCGAGGTCACACAGCAAACCAGGGGCAAGGACATGCCTCTCATGTCCTGTCTATCAGACCCCTTTCCTTTCAGGGCCAGGCCTCTTCAAGGACCTAAAGAGGGCTTTTCCATCATATCTCAAACAAGATCCTGGCCCAACTATGGGCGGCAGGGGTCTAGGGCCAGGGGAGGCCGTAATGCGATAAGCAGACTGGCCATCTGGCTCAGGAACGGAGAAGAGCCCAGACTGGCCGCTTCTGCTGCCCGGTCCCGAGGGGCCCTGTGTCGTGAGAGACAGACTGCCAGATGGACAGGCACTGGCCTGGTCTGGGTGGAAGCCAGTGAGTTCCCTGTAGTCAGAGCTGACCAACTTTCAGATGTGGAGGGGGCGCAGGGAGCAAAGCCAGGCTCCCCAAAGGTCAGAGACAGAACAACAGGATGGGGGACCTGAGATTCCTCACCCAGGCTCACAGCCTGGCTCCCCAGGTAGGCCCAGCCCCACTCAGCTCCACAGACCCCAGTCCACTGGCCGGCCACAAACAGGGCTTCCTCCCGGAGAAAGGCAAACACATCTCCCCTGGCACCTTCTCAGACATGCATGCAAAACTAATTAACATGGGGAGACATGCGAGCAGCCGGCCAGCTCCACACCCTCGAGTCCATGCAAACAAGGCGAGCCCTTGTCCAGGGGACGTGCACAAAGCTCTGTTGCTAATTTAGGCATCTGTCTCTGTCTGGTCTGGTCCTCCTGCCTGTGCTGGGGTTTTTCCCAGCCCCTTGGACAATGCTGGGAACAGGCCCGCCGATCCCTTATTCAAATCACACCCCGGACAATAAGCTCATTGTGCAGGCCACAGAAAAGGGGATGCTGGGGGGTGGCAGTGTGTAACAGGGCATCGGGGAGTGGGGGGTGTGAAGAAAATGGAAACCAGGAAAGTGTTTACTAACACAGCCCCTGCAGCTGCCTTTGGTCCTTTTCTCCTCCCCCTGCCTGGCCGAGAGCTGGGAAGAAGTCCTGGGACTCTGAGGTGGGGGGCTCAAGAGTAGCTTAAGGACCTTGTGTCCACTGGCCCAGCAGATGCAAACTGCTCAAACCGTCTTGCTGCCCTCTCCCACCTTCACCAGTCTATAGCTCCCTCTGCATGTCCAAGGCCAGGCATATTGTTTATAGGATGGTTTAGATTTTTTTGTTTCTTACTTCAGGCTTAGCAGTGTAACGTGCAGACCCCAACTGCAGAAGAGGAGAAGGGCTGTGGGGAGAGGTGCTGGAGGCTTTGTGGGATGGGACCTGCTGTCTCAGCCATTGTCTTCAGGCAACGTTTCATTTTCTCTTCCTTCCCAGCTAATAAATTAGAGAGGAGACGGTGAGCTGCAAAGGGACAGGCTCCCCACGGACGGCGGCCAGTCTAGTCTGTGAGCTCATGGCAGATGGGGCTCACCCGGCCTGGCGGCTGCTCACACACCTGGTTAGCCACTCCCATGTAGCCCCATACAATGAGCAGCATGAAAAAAAATCCTATATATATAAGTACATACATGTGTGTGTGTGTGTGTGTGTGTGTATGGATATATATATAAATCTCCTGAGGTCCCTGAGAGGGAGAGCTGGGGCTTTGAAATGCCCTCCCTCTAACCAACTCTAACCAATACTCCCCGCCCCCCTCCCCAGCTCCTTGTTGCACTGAGTGCGCCTAGACAGGCTGACATAAACAGACACACACAGCCTGACACTGACACGCAGACACAAAAAGAAACACACACACCCAGAGGCAGCCCCAGACACGCACACTGACAATGGTGTAATGAATGCAGGATGGCGACTGCATTCAGTCAAAAGCCCACACCGCTGGCCGCCCAGCACCAGGGTGGCTGAAAGGTTATGGAGAGGCTGTGAGCCAGCTCTCTGAACAACCTCCTCCCCACTCTGTCTCCCAGGACCACTGCTGGCTACACAGGAGGTAAAGTAAAATATCATTTGGGGCATCCAGATGGAAGCAAATGCCTCCTGAGACAGAAAAGTTCGGAACTAGTCTCAGCCCTTAGGATTGGCCAAACTGTTTGGTGATTTATTTTTTAAAAAATAATGAATGAAATGGTGCTCAAATGTCATCTTAATTGTCCTGGATTTTGAGACAATGTCCTGAGGTTGGGGCAAAGTGGAGTCTTGCTGGGGTAGTTTTTCCTTGCAGTACAATCCACAGGTTGGAGTGATTTCTTCCTGCTGTGAAAATAATTCTGAGAAGGATATCACAGGATGAAGAGCAACACAAATGGTTAAAATCTCAGAGACTCTTTAAAATGTGTTTCTGGGGATCCCTCTCCACTGTCCCAGAAAATGGAAATGTATTTAGGTTGAGCCATATGAAATTACTAATATCTGACTGTTCTTGATCAACAAAAAGAAATTTCATA